TCACACGGCACCTCAGCAGATCCACGGTCACGTTTTTAATAAGTTGAACGGTTGTGTTAGCCGTTTTCACACACGTCATGTCAATTCTTGTTTTGTTGGGGTCTTTTAATATTAGATTCGTACTGGGGGAAATAAAAAAGAGAAAAACGATTAAAAGAACAACGGTTTGCACATGTATACAAACTCTCTCCCACTATACTTGTTAAAAACAACTTGTGTGTATATATATATATATATATATAAATCTATTTTTTCTTTTAGAAGTATGTGTGGAAGTCTGAAAGGCTGTTCCATGTTTTCTGGTGCAAGTCCATTTTTATTTCAGTTTGTGAACCAATAAATGTTTACACCAAATGATCTACTTTATCAAACGCTGGCATGCTTTGCCATGAATCATTTGTCGGTTTCATACATGTATAAATGCCTCTCATCCATCAAGCTTTATGTTTCAGCCGATGGTTCGAGGCGTCTGCTTCAGCCGATGGTCGGTGTCGTTCATCTCCATTCTGCTTTTATTGGCTCATTTGTCTGCTGCATTAACCTGCCGTTCACCTCATCCGCCCAAACGCCCCACAGTTCATCTAGATTCTTCTCTGTATTTTCCTCCTCCAATAACGTCAAAGTAATCTGGCAGAAGACCGATCCCCCACCTGCTGGTGCTCTTATTGCGCCGCGGGGAGCTGCTGGAGTCCGTGATGGACGGCTTTATCTTCATATGGAGGTCCGGTAACGGTGTGGATTGGCTCTGTGCCGGCGAGATTATTAACGTGTAATTAAATCAACATCTGGAGAGCTCAGCCGAGGACGAGGTCTGCTCATAAAGGCTCGCTCTCTCGCCGTCGAGCTTCTGTGTATTCAGCTGTAATTTATGTTTTTATCAGAAAGCCTCCAGTTTCTTCACGGTGGGCCGTCCAGTGCTATTCCGTTATAGCACTGTAAGTGTGTGCAGGAACGCAGTATTTTAATCTAAAACATTGGTGTTACAGCAGAAGGCTGTTTCTTCATGTTAAACAGGCTTCACTGCGACAGACACAAGCATCTTCACTCCGAGATCGATCTCATCATATTAAAACAACATAAACCAGTGCTATAAAATACAAGCCTTTTCACAGACTGATGGGTTCCATTACATTTGCATTGTAAATATAGCAAAGCGTTTCATATTTTCATTATTTAAATATTTTTTGTTCATTTAAGTGTTGTTTCAGTATTATTTATATACTATTATAGTGTCTTATTTTAATTACATTTTATGATTTGTTAAAATTTGTTTTTTTTGGTCATGTTTATTAGTTTTTGTGTCTATATAGTTTTTCATTATTTATTTTTTTTAGTTTATTTAATTTGTTTTTTTAGTGCTCCCACTTAAATGAGAATTAGAAACGTTGCCGTGGCAACTAGCTGACAAAATGAGTATTTTTAGATTTTATTTCAGTAAACGTGTACTTTATTCTTTTTTTTTAAGTAATTACATTTTTAATGGTTTTAGTTACTGATAACCATGGAAGATCTAATATACTTAGTCTTGCATTACTTTGGCATTGAATTAGACAGAATTAGTTAAGAAACACTGCAAGGGTGTTACTGCAACGATGGAGGGACCGATGGGACATTTGCCAGCTTTCTCTATTCTAATCAACGTAACTAATTTCTCAATATTTTTTCTCTTTGGTAAAGTCTTGGAAACACCATAGTGGGTTTTTTTTATTTTGCTATCAGAGCAAACGAGAAGCCAGAAATAATTAGCTGTCTTCTCCCGTTTACCATTATAGAAGTTTATGCAACTGTAATTATTGAAGAAAAGATGAGTTTGAATTATGAATTACTGAGGATGTAATGTCCAGGGGTCAGTTATTCGGGAGAGGCTCAAATACCTCTGTGATAACATGTTCTAAAAATAAGTAACCAAATGAATAATAGTTCATTGTTACAGTACTTTAAAATTGGACTACTCAAAAGAGAATATAGGGAAATATAACTTCATTGATTTGTGTGTCCTGCTACATTTCACATAAACATAAATCTAGCTCTAAATCTCTCTTTTCTTTATTCAGAGTTGATTTAGACGAGTATATGGAAACTATATAAGGTTCAGTTTCGAAAGGCTCGGTTTCACCCATCACTAGCGCTTTTAAAATCATTGCAAGTGATGTCGAAATTCGAAAACGAGTCACTCTTTTGATCTGGTTGTTATAAATTCAAGGCTTTATTTAAATCTGAATATATTATTATATAACATACTGTAAAGCGGCTCTGAAAGTCATTCTTGAGACGTGGGACAACACAGGTCCAGCAAGGGTAACTGCTATTAGCTTTAAAAATACAAATATGTTCAATTTTAAATGTCATGAGGGATTAATAATAGAATGTATTTAACACAATTATCACCTTCAATTTAATTTTCTCATTATTATACCAAATCTGTGTTTCTTAATGTCCTCTCACTACATCTAAAACAGTGTGTCCACAGAGAAGGGTTCAATCATTCATATGCAATAAAATGGATAAAAATGTTTTTTTTTTTGTATTATGAAAAAGAGCTTGCTTTATCAAAAGCAACACTTAATAATATCTCCTATCAAAGCAAGGTTGTTTTTTTAATGACACATGCATGTTTCATAAGATTTTAAATTTGCGTCCCCACTTTTTGTCAACACCGTCAGACATTCAATAAAATCAGGGAATATCAGGGGCAGCTGTCTCTCTAAAGGACCCCCTTGCCAGTTTTAGAATACTTTAAATCCTATTGTTAATATTTCCTGTGTCACAGCCATGATATGTCAACAGCATCTTCCAGTTTCTGAGGAAATTATTTGAAATATTTAGATCATTTTATTCTCCTGAAGCAGGTTCCATTAGCATCTAGCATCAACAGGAAAAAAAACAAAATGGCTACTACATGAACTCCATTGGTTTTGGGAAAGAAATGCCAAATTTGTCAACACCGTCAGATGTCACCGCCATAAGATCTTGTGTTCCAATGATATATCAAAATACTTAAATGTGCCTCTTGAATAAAAGCTTTATAAACAATAACATACTCACTGTTTGTTGTTTGTTTTAATACAGTAATTGACTGATTCAATGTATTTGACAGTTAAAATTATTACAAATTCAGGTTTTTGTCACCTCCGTCAGATGTGTCAACTCCGTCAGTTCTGTCACCTCCGTCAGTTGAATATTTTGATAATATTTCATTATGATATTTTATATTTGTTGTGGAATTGTTGGTCACATGTGAAAGTGTAATCTGTCTGCTAACACGAGAATGTGTTTTGAAATGTTAAAAACATCTTGAATGCTGTTAAAGATAAAGCTGAAATTATATTACACAGTCCAAGCTAAAAAAAAAAAGCACATTTTGTTAAAAAAGAGAAAAGTTGGGAGGTTGTATCAAAGCATAGCTCAGTAGCTTAGTACATATAAGA